GACACCAGTGCCTCTTCTGAGCGTGATATATTTTGCCTTTCTCTACTCTTTGACTTGCTATGGAGAACTCCGAGCTACTGTACAGTCCCCAAACCTTATTTCTTTCACCTATGTAATCCTGGTGTCCACAGAGCGTCTCCTTACTTGCTCACTGTTGGACACCAGGTCAGTACCCTTGTATTTCGTCTTCATCAATACTACTTGCTCACTGTTGGACACCAGTGCCTCTCCTGAGCTTGATATCGGCGTCGGGCATGGGGACGATGAAGAGGTGTAGGAGACGATGGGAGAGCGAGGGGACAAGGGGTACAGCAGCAGAGGAGGTGAGGAGGTGAGGAGATGGTGAGGAGATGGGAAGCGTTGAGGCGCGAGGAGGGGGTGCAGAGAGGGTCCAGGAGCGGAGTCGAGGGACAGCAAGGGGCGCGCAGGGAGAGCGCTGAGAGCGACAGAAACACACCAAAGAGGTCCAAAACCAGCCAACAGGCACTAATCCAGCTATCTAGGGCTCAATCCCCAGCAATCCAGCACAAGAGGGCGACCTAGGAGGGGGTTTTTGCGGTCGCTGAGTGTAGGCGCAGTGCTGGAGTGGTGGTGAGAGCGATAGTGGTACAGGAGAGAGATCAAGGAGATCAGATACTACCCAGCATGACATTTTCAGTATGCTAGTATGTTTTTGCAGGAAAAGACCAAAGTCATTATGCTCACAAAGCCCCCCCTATCATGAACAACAAGGCATGCTAATGATTTCTCAGCCTAAGATGGAAGGTGCTTGCCAATGAACAATTCATCCACTTAAGCACTGGTGTCATTGATACCATAGTTCATTCAGTTTGGCATGTCTGCTGCTGCTTCAACTGCAAACACAGCTTCAAAAGCTAAGATCTCAAAATCTGATCTGCTAAGTTGTTACATGTTGAACCAGTTCTAGTGTTAGATGTGCACTTTAGGCATGTTGCCAATTTAGTTTGCAACCCAGATTGCCATGCTTGCTGAAAATTTTTCTCCATGGATCAGAAGAGCTCATCTGGAGTTAAATGTTCCATGAGCAACTTTAGAAACTACTCAGAAAGTGTGTAAATAACCCAGCTTGCGTGATCAAACATATAGACTGCAAATAAATAACTGCACAGGACTTTATTTAGCTCGCTCCCCTTGTTACAAAACTTGTTCAACATTTTGCTTTGTAGCAGAGATAGCAAGTTATACTTTACCCCTAGACAGACATGTTCATCTACTTACTAAAATCCGTGTTCAAACAATCAAACCTTATCTTTTGCCTACCAAATCATAATATTCCTCATTTCAAGGGTTTGCTATTCATGGTTGTACAATACATATCCTTTTCAGTAAGGTGTGGCAACTTCCAGGGAAAGCCAAATGAGGAGCAGCATGTTTCAAAGGGCCAGCTTCTGTATTGAAGCAGTGTATTATCATGCTGAAAAAACCCTTTGAGCCTGAGTATTACTTCTGTAATAAACACTGGAGCATTGTGTTTTTATATGGTAACTCTTCTCCCTTCCACTGAGCCACCATCACACATGTATCTTTATCAATTTGACCAATGTAATCACAACAGTACACCAGAGGATTAGACAAAACCACCCTCAATGCATCCCCCCAAGGAAGATCCCAAGATCCAGTGCACTGGATATTATATCAATGTGGACAAATGAGCTGATTATGATCTGGTTAATTGACTGCTGGGATGGTCAGCTCAATGCTCTACCTAGCCAATGCGCCCCAACAAAAGGACACATGATGCAGATCACACAGGATTACACAAAGCACCTCAGAGGCCAAAGAAGGCAATCATGGACTGTATTGAAATTGTTATTCTTAATTGGAAAAGGTGTCATACTAGTCATCACTATTTTTTTTGATGCCAAGTTGCTGGTTTCACTCTACTTTCATCTGTGAACCAAACATATTGATCTTATTTATATCCATATCCTGGCAAGCAAAGAAAATTCACTTGTACTGGCAACAAGAATGTTGTGTTCTCAAGAAGAGTCTTGGCAGCTGCATTGTTGAATTGGATCAAATAGTTACATGGGTGAGTATCCTGTATTTGTGAATGCATATAATATGCATTGATCATTAAACCCAAATCTCAACACAGATGGGTGTATACTATAGCAACAACATAAAGAATATGAAGTTTTACCTTGTCCAGATTTCTACCTGCAATACTGATGCCAACCTCAACCCCACTCAATGTTGACTGCTTGCTACTTGGGTTCTTGCACAAGGAGCTTGCCTGCTTGCTTGTCCTTGCAATGTATCTCAGCAAGTACCTAGAGGCCAAAAAGATGTAAGTGATTCTTTTCATTGTATTGTTGTACACAAGCTAATGCATTTGCTTTATCAAGAATACATCTAGCCCCAATCATGCCCTTGACCATGCCTCTTACCACACCGTCGTGTGGGCCCAGCACCATCATCCAGTCGTCAGCCCAACCCCCTGCAGTCGCATGCGTGTCGACTGCCGCCCTGATTGGGCCCTCAACCATGCCCCCTTGCGCGCCATTGCGTGGACCCAGCACCATCAGCTGGCTGTTACCCCAGCTCCCTGCAGGTGCACGCATGCTGACCACGCTGTCGCATGGGCCCAGTGCCAACATCTGACCAGTCAGGCCACATCCCAACATCAGAAGTGTGCAACCACACGTGCTGGATGTCTGAGTGTTTGCCCACTTCTCCGCTGGCAGGTACGTCTTTGCTCTCAACCACTGCCTATCTCAGCATGCATGTAGAACACCTGTCCCGTGCACCTGCCAACAACTGCTTCCGTGAGCCCCCACCCATCCCTGTGTTCATGCTCCTCAGCTAATCCATCCACAGCAGTCTAATCTACCATTGACCTGTTGGCCTGGCTTGCTCCAAGCTTCCGGCACCCGTGATGAATGTGTCTGCGCCTTACCCTCATTGACCACTATAAATGTTTACTACAATTTTACTTATGTACATAGTAAGAAAAATATGCTTGGGCTCACAGTCTGCTGGTTCGACACCCATTGATAACCCCTCTCTCTGGCAAGATAATGGCACCGAGCTCAATCTTACTTAACGGGTTGAAATCTGTGGGACTTATCTGCTCTCCCTTTCACTGACTGACAAACTAGACTATAATTATTTACAATATCCTTTCATGACATGGCTTTTAGGCTGGGCAGCGGCCATCCTGTTGAGTTGCTTGTGTGCTGTGTCAAAAAAGTGTGAATGGGCATTTTCACAAAAGTCAGACAAGTGTATTGCCATATTGCTTGAATGCCATAGGAACATTATTTGGAATACAAATGCTAGGTTGCAGCAGGTGCAACACTGCAACACCATCTCAGATAGGCATTCTATTCTGCAGCAAGGAGACTAGTGCATAAATAGCAGTGCTATGGCCCCCAAAAAACTTGAAACTCTCACTGTTCCTCCCTTCCTCAAGGGAACTGCCTTCCCCAGCAAGGGTAGTTGACCAAGGATGTCAACTTCCAATATTATTGTGGACACCCTCTACTGCTGCCTCAGCCAGCCTCCAGCAGGGCTTCCCCCAGCAGTTGAGAAGTGGTCCAAGGGCTTGTGGGGCATCAAGCTGGTAGGCCCTTTTTTTCTGAGTAGACCAGATTAACCACTTCAGAAGAGTCATGTTCAAAAGTTTTTTGGGTATGCTAAGAGAGTAAACAGTCAAGGTCCTGGAACTTTTTGGTGTCCTTACCTGTCCAACTCAACTGCTTGAACCATCCTTTTTGTAGACACTCAAAGGAGAAGGGACTGTGTTGTTTTTGCTTGACATTTGTGGTGCACAATCAAGAAAGGGGCCTGGAGAGAGGGTCAGGAGGCAACACAGGAGGTAGGTATAGTTGTTCTCCTTATTGCTGGGCACATCTTCATTATAGCACTGTCTAGGCTTGTAGCAGTCTTCACATTCAAAGACTTTCTTCATGAAAAGACCACTAGTGTCCGCAGTACAAGGTGTGGCTTCAGCAAAAACCAAGCACATGAGTAAGAAGGTCACAAACAAAAGATGATTGGCAGGAGGAGCTTGGACCTGCCAACTGAGTACAGACAATTCACAGATTTCAACCTCAACATTGGTGATGCCAGTTTTTTCTCTCTTCAAGAATGTCAAGGCATCTAAAAACTGCATGTTCTAGTATTTTCACAAGCAAGAGGTTTTGGTTTCCCTCACCTAAAGGCTGCAGTGTTGGCATCTTCACTGGCAAGAGATGCTTTGACCATGCCAATGCAAACAATGTCTGTGCTTGTTCATGGCCCCTCAATCTCATCCAGGCAAGCCACAGTGGGGGATCCATGGAAGAAGAGAGGACAAAAGGAGGGGCTGTTTAAGGAGTTGTTGAGCTTGGGTGCTTTGAGGGCCTGTCAAGGAAATGAGTTTAGCATGCCATTGGTCAGCTGCCAAATCACATCAACTTGCAGCCACCTATAGAGTACCACTGTACATAGTAGAACTGACAATGACAGACACTGAGTGTAAATGCTGTAAAGGGATCACAGAGGGAATTCACTACTTTGAGTTTTTGTGTGCTTTGTCACATGTAACTCACATCATGTTCCTGCACATGTTCCAGTTTGTTGATGTGAATCCACTCAAGGAAGTAGCAATTCACACATGTAAGATTGTATGCAATATTGTTTGGCAGCCACAAAAGCACGGAACACATGATGAGGCCAAGCTAAAAAATAAACAAATCAATGCTAAGTGACCAATGTCAAAGAAAATTTACTTACACAATATGCTCTTAGCTTTGTGGCAAGTAAAGATTATCTTCAAAAACTAAGAAAAAGACAAGTTAGCCCTAAGCCTTCAAGAAAAGAGGAAAATATACATGTGACAAGGCATGGTCATCACAGAGTCCTTTCCATAGATTCTCAGGATTGAATCTATCCCCACAGTATTTTTTGCTTCTGTACATGAGCCCCAGTGAGAATGCACTCCTTGGAATTCACACAATAATTGTTGATTTCTCTCAATCCAAAGATCCACTTAACATAAGTTATATTCACATTCACACAAGGATAGCAATAGATAAAACTGAACATCACATTTGGGTTTGCTAATCGTACACATATGTCAATATCTGTCAAAAACTGTGGATATCTATGAGAAACTAGAGTGAGCACTGGAAACAGATAGCCACAGAAAACAACGGATCCAAACCACTGAGCAGAGATGATAGAGAGAAATTGACAGATAGGCTGAGACTACACGAGAGACACCAGAACAAGTGAGAGAGCCAAAACGTCACCTGAGAAGAGAGCCAGACTGTTTAGAGAGAAGTAAGTCAGACTATTAGGGTGCCATAGTTGCGTCTTGGCTCTTCTTGGAGGCGGTCATGCCAGATTTCAAGGTGCGTGCAGTTTTTGAGGTGGTTGTGATCGTAGAGCTGGAATCAGCCACTTTTGCAGAGGGTGCCACCTTGGACTGTGTCACGTTTGCGGCCTTTGCAGCTTTCTTGGTGCCAGATTTTGTATATTTTGCCGTGTACCGCATGTTGTATTCCTAAGACAAGTTGTTAGACACTATAGATGCTAAGATAGACATGTACATCCATTCCACGGGAACAAATACGGACTCACCACCATCCTGTGCCAAAGTAGACCAAACACTACCACATCCTCTTGAGGCCATTCAAGGTCCAGCTGTTCAAGGGCAAGATGCAGCCGCATCTCAAATATTTCATAGCAACCTCTGCAGCCATCCGAGGCCATGCAAACTGCAGCAGTGGCATCCATGAAGGAAGGCCAATGCTTCCAGGGTCGCTGTTGTTGAGGTGAAGGTAGGGGAGGAGGAGACATTTGAAAGGTGTGGAGGACATTGATGTAGTGGATGGGAGAGAAGGGAAGGTCAACAAGGGAGCTGCATGTTGCTGCAGACAATGTGTGTGATTATTTGTACAAACAGAAGGGTCTGGCAGATGCTGGCTCGGAAATTAGGCAATGCAGCCAACGTCACTGTGGGGTCCTGTCTGACACAATGCGCCGCACACAACTCTCTCCAAATTGTCCACCCAGTCTAGCTGGAAGTGCCATCCGTGCCCAGCATATCCAGATCCATGCAGGCATGCTCCTGTATGGATTTGGGCCAAATTTGATGGCACTATGCTGTGTTGGTTGTCACCTGCTCAATTAAGAAGGTGCATCAGAAAGATTTTGAATGATCTCTATGCCAATATGTGGAATTGAGCTCAAAGTATGCATGTTCACCCACCTTTTGCTAGTTTGTGACCCAAAATCCAATGTCGCCTAATCTTAGCCTCTCACGTAAAGCATACTGGTAAAGTTCTATACCATTATCCAGGTTAATTTCTGCATTCCTACTCTTTTCCAAAGGAAGCAGCCAATCATGGTCTCCATATTCAACCTTTTGACTTATTTGCCAAAAGAAAAACTCCCAATTGCCTATCTTTAGAGCTGATTTACACATCATCTGCCCAGCAACTGCTGGATCAACATCCGCCATGATACCACTGCTTCCATGCAACAGCAACTCCATCCGCTGAGGATCCACATTTATGTTCCCTCTCATTTCTACCAACCCATGCGTCCTTCCGCCCAGACACTATTCACCTGGTCATCTGCTGTTGCTGCTTTCATTGGCACCTGGTTTAGCCCATCTGCCCATTCAGCAATTGTAGACTGAGGTATGCCCCAGCCCTGTCCCAGCTGCTCTTCCATCCGCCAATTCACCTGCCTCTTCAGTGCTACACCCATCCATCCAACCGCCCCCATCCATCTGACCACACCCAACCATCCAACCACTCCCATCCATCCAACCACCCCATTTCACCTCCTTTTTCAACTTTATCTGCCCTCATGCACTTCTTGTTCCACCAGTGTCTCTGTCCATTGCTATCCGCAACCCCAATGCTGGCAGCTCTCTACCAGCATCTACAGATCCACTATTTATGACCCATTTGCCAAATTCATTGATTTATCCAGCGGATCACTGCTCATCTGCATGCACTTGTTCAGCACTCGCATATCCCCACATGCACCCACTCACATATCCAGCCATTCCCGCTACACCCTCTCATCTGGTTCTCCGCACTTTCACAGCTGATGAATCCGTGAGCCCAGTCATCCACCCAGGCGCCCACTCGCCTGCCACAATCCCAGCTGCCATCCTGCCCACTGCTCCATACGTCTGCTCATAATCCATTCTGATATTTGCCGCTGGGGTTCCAATGCTCAAATCCATCTGGCGTCACATTTATCCGCAATCACTTTTGAGCATCCGCCTGTAAGCCATACCATCTCTTCTGGGCATTGTAAACCACTTTACCATTTTGACTACAATTTTATTGATGGACACCTGGGCTTACAGTCCGCTGGCTCACCACCCATTGATAACCTCTCTCTCTGGCAAGACAATGGCACTGAGCCCAATGTTACTCTACTATATGTGGATTTGGGCAATAGGGGCTTACAGAGTTGAGATGGCGGCATGTTGGCCTTTATGCAGAGCATATTGCTTGATGAGACAAACTCCCTCGCAAGCAAATTATGCATCACATAAATGAGGGTGTAGGCATGGGACTCAAGGTTATCTCACTAGCTTGTGCTCACCTTGATGTGAATTGGCCAATGGAAATGGCAAGTCTGCTGTGCAAATCATTATGCAAAAATTGACAGGTACACACATCTTTGGGTATCAGCAGAGACTTGCCAGCCCAAAATTTAGAGAGTTGGAGGGTATTAGGATGCTTCATGTTCTCCCACCAGAATATTGGAAGGTTGAAGACAGCTGTGGATGTAACTACAAGAATGAATATCTTGTAAATGGGTGACCTGCAAAAGTGTTTGAGTTGTAGAATCCAAGATAACACTAATGACATACAAGTACAAAACAAATATTAGACCATCCTCAACCAATTCAATGACATCACCAAAGGACATGACTACCTCCACACATTGAATGAGGGCAAAATTAAGTCTGGTGACACACTCCCCATGTTTTTTACTGACAGAATCCAGCTCTATGCATGTAAGCAGTCTGACTGCTGGATATACATATGGGTCTTGTTCAACCAGGCTCCTGATTAACAATACAAGAAGAAATTTGTGCTTCCTGGCACTGTTATTCCAGAACTCAACAAGCCAAAGAATTTTGATTCATTCTTGTTCTCTGGGCTCTACCACCTTGCAGTGTGCAAAATGATGGACTTGTCATCTTTGATGGGTTTGAGGACCATATCTGTACCACTAGTCTCTATCTTTTTGCTGTTGTAGCCAATGGACCAGGAATGGTGGCCTTGTTGGGTATTATGGCAAGTTTGTGTGCTGACTTTATTGCAGTTTCCCTGGTCAACACCTGCCACAAAAATCCCACTACTACCATGCTTTGAAAAAAACCCAGGGATACAATGTTAATGGGTGTATGCATCCCAGTATCCATGCACAAGATCTTCCATGGGCTGTGTTGGGCAATTATCATGGCATTCTCAAGCATATACTTGCTGCATTGGACTTGGCTGCATATAGAAGTCTTTATCTGGAGACTGGCATTGTGAAACCTACTATATTTCTTGGACTCCTGTGAACAATTCTTATTCCCAAGCTTTTCAGGTCTGACATCATAAATGTTGCAGCACTGAATGCTAGCAATCTCTTTTACCCCTTATGATGTGAAAATTTCACTCATGGACAAAATAACAACCCAAAAGAATGGAAGTGGGGTGTATTTGCAAATAAGGAGCTTTAGGAGCAACATGGCAATATTGCTTGACTCTTGGCAACATATTTACCAGCCTCCTTTGCTTGGCCTCCCCGCAACATTGTCAAAAAGCTTTATAGCAGGTACAAGGCCTGGGAGTGGCTACTATATCTCTATGGCCTTGGGCCAGTTCTTTACTATGGTACATAGTATCTTTTTCTCACTTTAATGGATTGTATCCTAATAATTGACAGGAGTACTACCTGAACCATTCTATACTAGTTTCTGCCACTTGATACATGGCATTTGCTTGCTTTGCAACACTCTATCACTGCAGCACAGGTGCAGGAAGCAAAAAACCAGCTCAACATGTTTGCTGACAAGTTCAAGAAGATCTATGTTGAAGAACTCCCCAAATGTCTTCATTTTGTGTGCCCCTGGTTACATGCAATCACGCACCTAGCACGCAAGGTTGTCTGCAAGGGACTTTCCAGATGCATGTCCCAGTGGGCAACGAAGCAGACAATTGGTCTTCTCAGATGCAAGATTTGCTCACATACCCGTCCATATGCAAACTTTGCCTCAGCAAAATGTAAAGACAACTTGAGAAGAACTTATAGTTATACTGGTGGTGTTGGTACTAGATGTGCCAACATGCACATCTGAGAGATTGGACCAAGATGACATCTCAGATGAGCTATCCCCTTCAGCTAGCTCCAGCAGCAATGCTGGTTGGGTGGATCCTCCCTTGTCCATGACTGCGAGAATGTCAGGCTCAGACTGTGGAGTGCAAGAGCGGGTGGGGACATTTTTGTCATTGGACATGGTGGTTAGTAGAGTGACATGCAGCTCACAAAGATTACACAAACAAGTCATGTGATGTAGAACTCAGCTCAGATGTTTTTGTGAAGCTGTACAAATAAGATCATAATTGTGGGCAAAGTCTTTTTCTCTAATGCTCATTGTCATCCATATTCCCCATTTCCTTTATTCAACTATGGCTAACAGCATTACTGAGAATACAAGTGTAGCTACTATTGAGATAAGCTTCTCATTTTGAACTTTCATGTTTACACTTTTATATGGAGCTAGATCTCTAATGAATCATCATTAGATGACAATGAGCTGACATCATTGTGTGAGCTATGGAGGTCCATTAAGAAGCTTTGTAAAAAATTGAAAGCTAAAAGAAAAATGTGAGGTGTATTACTGACGTTTGCATTCAACCTTGCCAACGCAAATTTTAAAAATAAAAATCCCCAAAAGGCAGCTGCACCCACGTGTCTGGGTCTCATAGTCATAAGTAATCTCCTATTCTCCTTGTCTACTATGGAACTGGGGATTTATAAACCACCTACACCATCTGAGAATACTCACCACATTCTATGAGATAGATCAGTCATAGCATAAGTCAGGAATGACAATTCATGGCCTGGTAAAATACTGAGTCAGTTACAGAGGTAGTCAATATTAATTACCAAGAATTGACTTATAATTATCAGTCTGATTGAGTCCAAGGTACATGTTAGCCACATGTTGGCTTGGCATAGACATGATCTAGTTTTATTTAATTTTTCTGTTCGGCAAGATCAAACGCAAATGTCAGTAGTGTGCAATTCATTCAACTGTACAAAAATGGTGACTATATGCATTATTCTAGGGACATGGTGAAAGAACTTTTAGCTGGCCTTGTTTCTTCCAACAATGCACCCGCCACTACTTTTGCACCTGCACTTGTGACTGCTTCTACATCTGCTGACTTTGCCTCCTGTGCTTGTTTGACATTCAACACCAACAAAACCAACATTGACAAGATGTCCGGTGGTCTACTCTACAAGGGAGAGCTTTGTCTCAACCCTAAGGCCTATTTTAAGGTCAAGTCATAGTACAGTGGTATTTAGAAGGAAGACAACAACAAGGAAAAGGCAGAGTAGGGTTTACTTGGCAATGAGGACAAGGAGGGGAATGAGGGAAAAGAGAAGAAGAGGAGGACATACCAGTTAAAACAGAGTAAATATGTATGTGCATTACCTAGTTTTCTTGCTGATATTGTGTCAGGGCCAACAACCATATCAACATATCCAAGTTCATTGATCTATCACCTTTAAACCAGCTCATACCCTCATCTACAATTTTCTCCATAGCTTGCACCCCATCTCCTGCTGAGCCATTTGTGTTATCTGCAGCCAGTGCTGTAAACAATTCCAAATATACAGGTGATAGCAAGGTGCCCAGTGTGCTGCCAGTTGAACACTCAGAGTCATCCAAGCAGCCTGTAGACACGAATGCTCTGGCTAGCATATCCATGACATTGCCTGCAGAGGTGCCTGTGGCCAAAGATATTGAAGCAGACAAGCAGTGGACAAGGTGGTGTGCCAATGGCTTCTCTGGCAGAGAGCTGCTCCATGTGAGTGCCCAACTTATCTTTTTTATAGCATTCACAATTGTTCCATCTGCTGCAAGCACATGTACTACACACACACTGGTCCCTCAAAGGGAAGGGAAGGTAAGTATGTGCTCTATTGTTGTTCTTTTCTAAATGGGGATTATAATGCTGCTTTGCAGCCCCCCATTGTCACGGAATTTAATGCCATTAAAATGCTGTAATAATGTTGCTAGTGCAAGCCAACGGCACTTGTTCATTACATCACCCATTTAAAACTCAGTTTAATACTGTTGGATTGCAGTTGACAACAGGATAATAATCACTGAGCCCCCCATTACAACACGTGAAAATGGGCATTTCATTGTAATGCACTAAAATTAAAAGTTTTGCTCCTGAAAATTTTCCAATAATTGTGACTACAAAAAGTTCTCCAAGGAGGAGAAATTGGTACATTTGTATCATTTCTGCTGGTCTATGCTGATTATTGTTATAGGTTTACAAGAAAATATATAAAGAAGCATGAAAAGTGCAATACCTACAGGTAATCCTATATTTTCAAATAATACCAATACAAATTATTATAGCCTTGGTTTTGTTTTTGCTCATACTACTCCACCTTCAGAACAGAAATTGAAAATTTCATTTATACAAAAAAGAAGAAATATTGATGGTTTAGTTTCATGTTCTAGAACACCAAGGAAACAAAATCTGCACTTGAAAAACACAAGTGAATAACCACTTGATTCAATACCCTTTCATTCAATGTCTCTGTTTCATTTGACAGTCCTGGCCATGTCTCACTCATTCACTTGCATTGCTGCCATTTGCTGCCCTTTCATACTCTTTTATTTCAATAAGTTTTTGGATTTTGTTTTCTGTTTTCATTACTCATTTGTTCTTGTTGGCTCTCATTTGTACCCCACAGCAATGGGTGGTAATGGTTGTCAAAGAGTGTAAATAAATCTGTTTGCTACCGTTCTGTTGCTACTATTTTGATTCAAAATAATATTGCTGCTCATTGTACTCTGTTGGCTTGCTTTAAAGAAAATTTGAATATTATCACTCATTGAAAAAAGAGTACAATGAGTATGAATGAGTCAGCCTGGAGTCATTGTTTATAGGGGCTCATTCTTCAAAAGGAGAATGAGCTCATGTTGTGCTGATAAGCTGCACTTGGAGGGAGGGAAAGTGGTATTGCCTCAAGTGTGGGGCCTTCAAGTTCTTGTTTGATTTTTATTTGTGCTCATGGTATTGTTTTCTTCACTGGTTTCTTTGTTGCAGTATCAGCAATGTTGAAGAGCTCTGAGCCAAAAAGTTGCACCCAGTCTGCAGTTTCCTAGAGAGAGAAAAACAAGATCAACAAGTAAGGTAAACCTCCTGTGGATTGGCTAAAACAATCCAATTGATCTCCTCCTTGTTGGGCAAGTATGGTATAAGACTGTGTTTTCACCTAAATGGGAATGCTGGTCTTCAAAGGTTTGTGGTCATTGTTAGAGACAATATTGAGAGATCTTGGTGAATTATCAATAATAGTTATTGTACAAGATGTCATAACATTACCCCTTTTGTAGCTTCAAGATGTCCCAATCTTGATCTACTCAACTTCTTCCAAATGCAGGGATGTCTTCTTTTGCTTCTTCATATGAAGGGAGGTTATGTTCCTCAGGAACCATTGCCATGTCATCCACATATCTGATCTCCCTCCTCTGTGCCTTTTGTGCCTTATCAAAGCTCCTCCTGATCTCTGCCTGGATTATATCTATCTCCATGTGGTGCCTATGCTTCTCTATCTGTTTGATCCTTGACCATGCCTGCTTGTCATCTGTCAACCTTTCCACCTTGGCAATTGCTGTACCCATGTTGCCATGTTTAGTATCAGTCTTGTAGATATGTCTCCATCTCCAGATGGAGCTGTATTTGTGTTATGGCCCAGTATGTGTGCGATGTCCCTTGTGCTTTCCACTCATTCTTTCCTTGTCTCCTGCTGTTGCTGTCCCTGCCACGCTCTATCTCTGTCTGCTTCTTCCAGATACCCTGAGTTCCTCTATGCCATCCTTCCCCATCTGGCTGCCTCAACCCTCTCTGTCAACCATGGGTCCCTTCCTGAGATGGTTTTCCACCTGGCTGGTGTGGTTGGCTCATCAATGGTGAAGTAGACCCAGTGGGGGCAGGTATGTTTGGAGCAGTTGGCCATTTGATGGCCAGGTATCATGCACCAGCACTTGCAACATAGACAGTTGGGGAAGTGGCAGCATTAATGCCTGGTCTTGTGGCAATACTGACACTGCATGGAGTGTGGTGCCAGCTTGGTAGGTTGATGGCAATGGTGGTTGTGATGCAGATGCCAATCAGCAAGAAGACAGTATAGTGCTAGAAAGTATGATGAATCAGAGTTAGTTCATTCCTGATAAGGGCAGTTGCTAATGGCTCTACCAAAATTGAGTTGTGGGCATGCAATGTGCCCTTCCAAGACATGGTCCAGGTGGTGGGGGTCATTGATGACCCTGGTTGCCATTGCAACCCATTGTTCAGTGAGCTTGGCAGTAAAGTGTTCAATATTGAATGCAGAAAGGATTCAGGTGACTCTTTGTTTAGCCTGCCAAACACCTTGGAGGGAGTTGAACTTGACATCAATGATCTTTTTATGATTGGCTGGGTTGAGGCTGTGGACCCTTTTATTGATGGTGTCCAGGGTCTTGAGGACCATCCCAAAAATGATCTCCATGGTGGTGTGTGGAGCATCAGAAAAATTGGCGAGGGTAGCAAGGCCTTGGCTTCATCATCAAAGATAGTGTGGAGGCTGAAATACCCAAAGTGGGTATTCTCCACCTCCAGGATCGGAAGAGGAGGATGTTGTGGAGGTTGGTCTTGGTGAAAAATTGCTCCTGACTGTGTCTGCTGACAATGATGTTGTTGTTGTTGATGAAAGACATAACATATTGAGACATAGTTTGTTGAGTTGAAAAGTGAATTGGTAGCTGTTTGAATTACTGGTTTGTCTAGTTTGTCTGGTCTCTCTTTTATACTGTTGGAGCAGCTCTTTTGTGTGGCATAATAGTTCTGTTTCTGTAATTCATTTATTTTCTGACAAATGTTCACCTTTCCATTTATCTTGTATTCTGTGTTGCCTTTATTCAAGTGTGACCCTACTGTTGCTTCAATCTTGGTATGAATTTAGATTGTATTTGTTTACTCATGCCCTTTCTGAATAGGTCAAGCACTGCTGATGCTTCTTCTCTTGCTTTTTCTAGGGCAGCCATTTTTCTTCAATGGCTGCTATTTTTGTCTTGGTTCTCACAGTGAGAATGTTCTCTGGATGGTAACTAAACATGAGATAAAATAAAGTTTGCCTGGTCACTGTGCGTACATTGTTACTGTGAGTGAACTCTGCCATAGTTAAGTTTTTTGCTCATATGTATGCTCTTTCTTGGCAGTATATTCTTAAATAGGTTTCAATTTCTTGGTTTATACATTCTGTTTCTCCATCAGATTCCAGGTGGTATGTGGTTAATAAGGAAATGTAATAGCCTAATAGTTTTTCCAAAATTTCATTGGCAAATGTTGATGCAAATTGAGGGGCTCTGTCTGATATTATTTTGTTAGAGTCCAAATCATTTGAAGACATGGTTCCAAAATAGTTTGGCTACTCCTTTTATGTCAATTGTCTTGTTGCATAGTATGATTATCACCCCTTTGTAAACCTATGGGCTACTATGACCATGATAGAATTGTATCTGCGTGATATAGGAAGATCCATGATTAAATCAACTGATAGTTGTTTAAATGGTAGGGTGTGTCTGGATCTGACTGGATTTAGAGGTGGTATTGTGGGATGCATGTTAATATTGTTTTATTGGCATGCTGCACATCCAAGGGCAAAGTTTTGGACAAATGCAGCTAAGCCTGGCCACCAATATTTCCTAGATAGAAGCTCACTTGTTCTTAATATTCCTGGGTGTCCTGATCCAGGTAATTCATGAATTGTTTTTAGTATATCCTGTCATTTCTTAGGTGGTACATACACTCAGCCTTTGTAGGTTAATAATCTATTATTGAATTGCCATTCTTCTATGTGTGATCAGAATTTGTATGAAGTCTTCCCATTCAGAGTGAAGCACATGTTGTTGACAATGGTATCATCTTTTGAGGGGTGGATAAATGATCCCTGTTTGCATTTTTTGTTGTACTACCAGTCTTGTTGCCTTGCTTAATGAGCTAGTGGAGATGTAAAAAGGTTTTTCCAGATCTGGCATGGCTAATAAAAGTTCCTTTGTGAATTCATTTTTTAAGGTTTTGAATGCTTCTTCTTGTTTTGTTCTCCACGTCCAGTTCTTTTTCCCAGTCTAATTGGGATAATGATTCCATTATGTGGGAGTGGTTCTGAATGAACTTCCAATAATAGTTACATATTCCTAGGAATTGTAATACACCTGTTTTTAGTAGTGTATAACATTACTTCTGGACATGTTTCTTCTCTATGTCTGTTGTAGCTTCTTCCATTTGTCAAATGTATTATTCATCTTTTGCTGTAGTATTGAGATGTTACTGATTAAGAATGTCCATCTTCTTTGAATCCATTCTGACACTATTTTCTGATATGATTTATTCCAGGAAATCTACTTCTGTCTTTTCAAAAAGGCATTTTTTAGGTTTGAGGTATAGCTCGTGTTTCTGTAGTTGTTCTACTACCTTTTTTACTTACTAGTTTCTTGTGTCAGTCTAGAGATATTAAGAAGATTGGAGTCATCCATGTATATGATGATCCATTCCTCTGTTAGGAAATCTATGAATGCTTCATCCATGAGGGCTTAAAAAATGCTTGGGAAGTTGCATAGACCAAAAAACATTATATTAGGTTCAAATCCTCAAAATGGGGTCACAAGTGCTGATCGGTCTTCTGGTCTGATACAGATATTGTTATAGCTATTCCTGAGATCAAGCTTTATGAAATCTTTTGTCCCCCTTAGTTGCTCAATCAAATCTTCTATTCTTGGGGGTGGATATGAATTTTTGATTGTGAAAAGTGAACCATCTTTCTTTTCGACAAAGAAAACTTGGGCTGCTTCAAGCCACCAGTATTTCAGCATAGACCACTGCAGTAGTTCTCCTTTACTGCTCTACCTAGTGCTTGGTCAGCACCTCTGGAGGAGCACAGCCTTTGAACCACTGGCTTGGTAGTTGGGTGAGTCACTTGGAGTGGAGGGCAGTGTTAAATTCAAGTGCATTACTTTATTTTCTTCTCACATCTGTCATCAACTTATCAGCACCCTTTCCCTTGCTTGTTCATTTACATTGCCTTGGTTGGACTATGGACTACTACTTTCACTTGCTTATCCATCTACTTTTTGTCCTTGTCTTTGATTCTTCCACTTACTAATAATGCTGTGCAAGTGCAGCCTCACTTTTTCTATTTTACTATACTTTATCCTTGTGGCCCTTATGAACCTTTCCCATAGTTCTTATAAATGATTCTTGCATTATTCACTTTTCTTACTCAGCACCACATCTATTGGAAATACATAATCATACAAGTGTTAGCCCATATGACTCATTGTACTGAGCCATGTACTTCAGTGTTTACTTTATTTTTTCTTCAACACTGCATCACTATTGCATCATTTAGTTATTACCTTAGCTTTTTATGATGTACTTATACCCACCATTGTCAAAATATAATTGCTGCATGTTTGCCAACAAGTTTTTACTTGTTTGCCTCCAAAATTCCAACACAAACATGCGTGTCTTTTTCACTCAAAACTTGTCACTCACTTGCTTTACCTCTCTTGTGCACTAAAGGACATCAAACACCCACTCCCTTTCTTTTCTTGTTACTCACCATTGTTGTCATTGTCACACTCTGCATCTATGGTTGCTGAACTCCACCTATCATTACTTGTTACCCCACCCTGTGTTGTTTCCCCTTACCACCATCACCATTCCACTGCACCTGTTGATTACCCTATCTGTTGTAACTCCTATCCCCATGGTTGTCACCACCATGACCAAGAAATCCCCAATACCAAAGCTCAACAACAAAAATTACAAGATCTGGGCTGTGTTGACTTATACCTTGCTCATTTGTAAGAACCTATGGGATGTTGCCTCTGGGAATACACTACAGCTGCACAGAGAGAGAGAGAATCCATATTTATATCCTGCAGAAAACATGTTTAGGATACATTAAGAGGCAGCTAAGTGCTACTTGGTGGTAATCTATTTGATGTAATAGATAAGTATGCGGTAGATAAGTAGAGTTCGTCTGCGGTGGCATGATCATCTGGTAATAAGAACCAATGGGGGTGTATGGATGTGATGTGGTATGATACAGACTATGTGTTTGGTAAGCTATGGACATGCACAATGTACAAGAAGCGGAGAAAAGGAAAAACAGAAGGGTATTAGTCAACAGGCCCACTGGGTTGTTTGGGTGTCTATTGTGATGCTCTTGGGTTGTCAGTTTTGGTGGGGGGAGTCTCTGTTAACATCTTCTTGAAGGTGTTGGAGTTGTGGAGGAATAGGGCTAGAGCTTGGAGGCCCTTCTTGGTTCCGAGGACGTCAGTGAGGGACATGTCCTCATTCAGTTTGCAGAGATGCCAGCATGCGGTTTTGTAGCAGGTGCATTTACAGATAATGTGGTGGCAAGACTGTATGCGTGTGCCACATAAACAAGCTGGTTGCTTGGGTGGAATGCATTTTGTGTAGTAGTTGCCCAAGAAGCAGTAGCCAGTGTGGCACTGGACCATCCATCCGTAGATGCTGTGTTTGGTGTCCATGATATTGTCTTGGGGTTTGAGGAGGGGGGGGAATCAGTTTGCAATTTTGAAACATTGCTCATCATTGTTGAGGTGGTCTGTCCATTGACCTGTCCATGTTGCAATGGTAGCATCTTGTGCAATGTGTTTGACTGTGGTGAACATTGGTGTATTTGAGTCGTTCCTCATTGTGGTGTTTTTTGCTAAGACATCAGCACATTTGTTGCCTTTGATCCCCTTGTGTCCTGGGGTCCATGCAATGGTGAGCTGGCATTTGGTGTTGGCTGTGAGGTATGAGATTGCTCTTGCATGGAAGTGGAGTGCTAGGCGCCAATGGGCCGGAGTTGGCTGGGAAAGTTGCCTGGACTGCCAATGCGTTGTCTGCAAATAGGAATATGTGAGTGATGTTGGAGTCTATTCTAGCCAGGTTGTTTGATGCCTCCATCATGTGGAGGAGGCCAACTATTTCTGCATTGTAGACTTTTGCTCTGCTCTCTATCCCTTCTTCTCTGTGGAATAATTCCTCTCCCTCTACGTATCTCACCCACCCTGCTCCTGTCTGTCTCAATCTGTGCTCTTTGAGTAGGAGTCTGTCAGAATAAGGCAATGACATTTGATGCATTACTGCCAATTTTGCCAATGAGTTTTGTGTGTGCAGTGGTCACCTCCTCCTTTATTGTGTCTGCACCTATGATGACCAGTTGGCCATTGAACAAGTCCAGGGTGGGGGCCCATGGTGGTAGAGTAAAGAGGTTGATGTGCTTGACGTCCACTGGAACGCAATTTGCGAGCATGTGAAGCTGGGTGCAATAGTGAACAATCGTGGCCGTGGGGGCAGGAGGTCTTTGTTGGGTAGGGGTGGGTGTGGGCTTGTTGCTTTCTCAAGCTGCCATGGTCCTGGCAGTTGGGCGTATATGGGGCTTCTGAGGGACACCTTTGCTAGGCGGAGGGCTGTGTTGCTCTGGGTTTGGTCAAGAAAAATAGTAACTGGCAGAATGCCAGTGTCTATTTCAAGAGCATGTACTGGGGTTGTGTGGAATGGAGTGCAGGCGAGGTGCAGGGTGCATCTCTGTACACATTCTAGGAGGTTAGCATGGGTCTTCTTCCCAGTCCACCAGACTGGACTTGCATACAACATGTCACACCCATGCATCTCTGGTCCAACTCTGACCCATGTTCGCTCCTTCGGTACTGCTTCAGTATCTTCGGCATCTACTCCGTAGCTGCCAACACACTTGGGAATTATCAGTCAGCACATTTTCTTGTGACCAACTCATTCCACATTCTACCTGTGATTACTTTACACCTGTCATTATTCCGCAGTTACACCTGTCATGTTTTGTATTCTTACAACCTTTGGTCATCTTCAGTGATTACTCATGATACTCCATACTTACTCCAGTAGCTATGCAGAGCTTATCCAAAGATCCAGACTTATGATATAAATAGTGGTAGCATTTGTCTTGTATTTGATAGTATAAATATTGATTAACTGTTAGGGTTTGGAACCTCGTAGATTACTATTACAATGTTCTGATAAGAATCTGATAATACACCTTGCGTATGAGGTTCGAAGAGAACTGATCTCTTAGGTTTTACTATCTTATCTTTCGTGATGTCTTACTATTGGTAGTCCGCAACTACAATCTTAGAGAGAGAACAAATGTCTGTAGTAACAGAGGTAGAACTAGTCTGAGGCTTTCAGGCCTCGTACATGCAAGTTTATATACTTTTCTACAAGCTATTTACTAAGTTGCAATGACACTGTGATTCGTAAGAACTTACAGTGATTGCTAAGAAATTAGTCAGACGCTGACTGAGAAAGAAGTAATATGAATCAGCAGGATTCATATTATTGCTAATCCTAATACAATGCACTGATAAAGAAAACAAGTCATAAGGACTTGTGGTTCGTAATCAAGCTGAGAGGATTTGTAAGGAATCCAAGATAATACAAGGAAAAGATAGAATGATATTGAATCTACTAGAAGTGTTCAGTTGCTGATACTAGTAGATGTCCAGGTACGAAGAGTGAAATAAACAGGTCGTAACATTAACTCCTGCCCCAACCATTCCTGTGGCCTTTGACATTTTTTTGTGTTTGCTGTCTCTATCCAAATCATACTCCAAGTTGACTTGACGTTGACTTGTCATCTCCACCATACTCCGCTGTACTTAGCATCTTCTCCCTGCTGCTACGAGCATCTCGCTTACCTTCGATATCTCCAGATTCACCTCCGGCCCATCTCCACACTTTTTTGTACCTTTGCTAGCATCTTCGGGACACAATATCCCTAGTGGAGCATAGTGTGAACGTCCTGGTTCTCCCTGGGCAGACACAGTGTTGACACAACATCATGCTGCATACACAGGCAATGTAGAGTTTGTTGGAATTATGTTAGGATCTTGCTTGCAATCATAACGTGTCATTTTTGTCATATAGATTCCAAGTTTTATTATCTTTATAATCCTGTCGTAGATACTCATGATCTTTACGTGATTGCCCTTTGGGCACCCTCCTCTTGCCCAGGTCAAATGCGCTGTGTGTCATCGCGAGACTGTGCAACCTCAAATTTCAACAGAGTTGTCGTACTCAGGCCTGGGGGAGGCCGCGGATTGTGTTGGCAAGCATGCTCAAGCCGAGCATGATATGTTCAGCCTGTGCATCAATCTTCTTGATGTGCATGTTGAAGAGCAGATTTTGGTCAAAGAAAATGCTGAGCCACTGCATGATATTACATGGCTCATTGGTGGTGGGGCTGCCTTTTGCCTTAGATGACAACATTTGCACAAAGGGGGAAGTGCATTAGCTTCAGTTTCTCGATGTTGAGCTTGAAGCTGACCACTTGGAGTTTGGGTTGTATGATGGTGATCTCTTGTTGGAGGGTCTGTGCATTCATGGAGAGGCTGGGCAACAACATGTATAACATGCCATTGTCAATGTAGCCCAGGAAGGTGGTGGAGGTGGTGTGTGGCTTGTCAGTCTGGTGGGTGCATGCACATGAGTGCTCCTTGTATAGCTTGTAAAGTGGGGATGAGTAGATGATTGAGAATAGGGGCAAGATTGGTGATCCCTGCAAGATGCTGTTTGCCACTGACTGGGCTGTGGAGGTGATGCTGTTGAGGCATATGGAAATGGAGCGGTCTGACAGGAATAACTTTACCCACCAGATCACTCTGGTAGGGATCTTCTTTGTGTGCATAATATCAATCAGGCATCCATGATTGATGTTGTTGAAGAAGCCCTTGATGTTGAAGGAGAGGCACAACATGATAAGCTTGTGCTGGCATGCTAGTTCAATGTTATGAGTCAGCGTGAGGCCCGCATCCATGGTTGAGCTGCCTTGGCAGCCCCTGAACTGCAACTGCAGGATGAGGTTGTGCGTATTGCACCAGTGCAAGAGGCACATGGCCATCATGCTTTCCAACACCTTGCTGCAGGATATGCAGGCCGGGTCTCCGAGTATGTCCGGTCAGCGGATGGGTCAAACACCCGAGGATGTCGGGGCAGCGGTGACCGGCGGTCAACCGACCTCGTCGTGCCGGCCGCTTCACCCACCAGCTGGGCAGCCTGGTAGGTGACCTCCTACAGGCCTGTGTCGAGGCGGCCGCCAATCTGGCCTGGGGGGGAGCTGCCCCTGGTATGTGCATGGGTATGCCAACCACCACCAGGTCGAGGCGGCCATGCGTCAGGAGGTAACACCCACCGGCCAAGGTATCCATTAGGTGTCGAGACGGCCCTAGGACAGTAAGCATACCATTCCGGCTAGGGTATTCAGTAGATGTCAAGGCGGCCCTAGGGTAATAGACAGACCATTCCGGCTAGGGCAACTACTCGATGTCAGGACGGCCCTAGGGTGGTAGGCATACCATTC